GTTCCCTTTTGCCTGTGTTGTTAATCGGGGTGTTCTCTTGTCTTCATGTTTGAAGCTTGTCAGGGTGTTGTTGTCAGCCCTCCCTTTTCTCAGCATATTTTGAACAGGAAGTCAGAGGAAGTGGTCAGAGGAAGTGGGCTGTGACGCTTTGTGGGCTGCAGCTTCTGGTCTATTGTTTTATATCTGCAAATGTGTGGCAACAGTCAGATACTAAAGTTTGAGTAGTACCAGCTAAGTTGTGTTGAAAAAATGCATTTCCTATCCATTTGCAAGAGTTTTTTTTTTTTTTGTTGTGGTGAAAGAGCACTTTCAAAATGTGTTTGGGTAAACACTGGTTCCTTAACATGTCGTCTTCTTTTTTTTTTTTAACCACAGCTGCTACACATAAAAAGAGCATGTCCTTGCTTTAATGTAATTACTTTCAAACCACCTTTATAATATATTGTGCATTAATTTATCAAAATCACACAAACATATCTAAATGTTATAATATTTTACCAATTATATTATGTACCAAAAGCCACTGGTTTTGATTTAAGAACATGTAAATTAGAAATTCAACAATTTCTTCTGTACAGCAGTCAATATTTTATTTCCATAGCACAACTTATGCATGAAGCAACACAATGTGCTTTCCAAGAAAGAAAAAAGAAGTTGGAAAGTATGCATAAAAGTACAAATGCACACAACAAAAGTTTAATAAAAGAAGGTCAAACTATACATAGAGAGAACTGTATGGATTTTTACACCTGCATACAGACACACATGCTTAAATTACAATAATTGCTAAATCATAGAACTAGTAATATAAATGTTGTTATATCATTCAATGAAAAAGAAGTTTATTATTTACTTTTAACGTAATTTGTTCTCTCTTAGATCCAAAAGCAAAATTTTCCATTTCTTTTGAGTACATGTGCTGTGATGGAAGGTCACTTGCAATGCTAGTAATAAAATTTTAACATTTATTCAGCTTTTAGTGGCTATATATATATGTGTGATAGCCTAGCTAACAAACACTTTAAGATGAGTGTCATTAAAAGTAGCTAAATGAAAACCATCAAAAGCAGATTCATGAAAGTAATATTTATCTATGTTTAATAGCAAACATAAAAACATCAGCTCCTTGGCAGTAACGTCTGCATGACTAAATAAAATGTATTGTACAATAACACTGCAGTAAAAGTTGCTTTAAAAATGTTTAAAAGAAAATTTAAAGGACAATTTAAAACACAAATCTTACTCTGTAATCTTTTGCTGTAATTTAAATGTAAAAAATGGTAGACGTATGGAAAAACAGACATTTTAGCCCCATAAGTTTTCAGTTCTACTCTAAAACTGTCATTGGGACTTAGTGTTGAATGTATGCGAGTTTGGTCTCATGTTAATTTTCCTAAAGTATATATATTTGAAGATCTTGAACAAGTATGTTCCCCACTTATGATCCTGAAGCTTTACTAATTGAGGGCACTAATCAACACGACGAGGTGTGAACTGAACGGGGAGTTGGTCTGAGAGATGCCAAACAAGCATAATCTGTGCTCTCCCACTGAGTCTAAGTGGTGCAATCATGGTGAAATGCTCATGGGTTGTGTGTCTGCAAATGCAGAGCCAGAATGGTTTGTGAGCTGTCAACAACACTATAAATTTTAGCAGCAGAAACAACCACTCACACCCAGAGCAGCTGAACTGCCACACTTTTTCTCTGACGCTTCACTTTTAATAGAATAGTTTATATGTGAATAAGAGATATGAGTTTTAGGACTTTTTAATGTTTTTATGTCTCAAGAAGATTATAAAGAGATACATTATTCTATGGACAAGCTTTTTTAAATTAAATTAATAAAAGTCAAACTCTTATCTAAAGTTTTTACTTTCTGCTTCCAGAAATGCAAAACCAGTTGAGGATGAGAGTCCACTGAGTGAAGAGGACATTGAGGTGGTGAATGATGTGGAAACACCGATGAGGAGTGAGGACGGGGAGTCGCCTGATGTGTTTGTGGGCGACGAAGGTTCTGGTGAATATGAAGGTTCTGCACCGTGGATCTCAGCAGCTGGAAGTGAGAAGGACTCTGTCAAGTTTTGGACAGACAGGCTTCAAAACAAAGGTAGTAAAGAAGGATACCATGACATAAATGCTCTATCAAGAGTATTATTTGTTTGCTTCATTTTGTTTGAGCTGTGCTTCTCTTGTTCTGTTTGTAGGTGGAAGATTTTTCTTCGACAACTTTCCTGTTGGCGAGACAAAACCCACAGAGCAGGACCTGAAAGAAGACTACCTGTTGACTCCATAAACGCATACACAAGGCTATCTATTCTAACTCCTCATGACCACACTGCAAATTTATTCTCACACCACCACCTGCTGGAAAGAACTGGGCCACACAGACACCAAATATATCATTTGGACTGTATTGGCAATTGTCATTTCTATTAAAAATAATTTTTATCCCTCAGGTGCAAAAGAACAATTGCTAAAAGTGTAAAGGTATATGGAACTTACCAGGTAATATTCATCAATTTGACTAAACTTCCTGTAGCTGTTGTCATTTGTGATAAAATTAACCTTTTGAATATGCAATGTAATATATAAAAAAAATGTTTTTATGTCATATCATACCGGTGTACTAACATAATGTGATTATCTATGCATTACTAGCTTTGGACAAATGCAATATTTTTCATGACTTTTATTTGTGCCAAAATGTGTTTAAACTATTTGATTCCCTTTTCCAAAATATCTTAATATTTTACAAATCATGTCTAACCAGGAGGAAAATGCAAAACAGCACGTCTTAAAATGTAAGTGGGTTCACGAAGCAATAACTCAGAAGAGCTTTAAAAGATGTACAATAATTATATTTACATTTCTACCACATTGTATATTATTTGAAGTTACGTACTCCATTTTGCTAAATGTGCATTCAGATTGTTTCTATTAAAAACAGGTTAAATAAAAGAAAACTGTTTTAAACAAGTCTGTTGTGTTTTATCTATACGGCTTTTAAAGTGACCAAGATTTAACCAAGTAACAAATGAGTTCAAACCATGATGCTCTCTCCTACATGTTCACATTTGAGAAGACGATATGACAAAAAGTTTATGTATTTTTGTGTACAGCATGTGATGAAGTGGAACCAGAGAGAAAGAGAGACACTGCCCTGGCAAAATAATAAGTAAATAAAATATTGGCCATTAAAATTTTTGAAGTATGCTACCAAAATTTCAGATGCAATATTCATCCTAAAGTAATGAATATTTATTTATTCAGAACTTATTTTCAGTTTTTGATTGAGTTAATAATTTGAAAAGTGCAGAATGTGAAGCTCTCAACCTCTCTAAGGGATTTCAAACAACTGCTGAGTTCATGACAAAAATCAACGCAGACATGTTCCT